GTTGATTAAAATGACTGGAAAAAAATTTGGGGTGCCCGAGCTCGTTAGTGAGCTATAGCCATTTTCCAACTGACAGAACTCAATATCAAGGTAAATCCGCCATGTTTTCAATGTGCGCGTGCACGAAGCGCGCTAATGACGCCATAAATTATGCGCAGTAAGGATCCGCAATGCAAAATTGGGGAATGACCTTAAGTACCCAGTCCCCAATCTGATAGAATTTGAGCTTTTAAAAAATTGAAGACTCGCAGAAACAAATAAACAAACCCAACATTTATAATTGCCGACGTGATGTTGGATGACGTGCTGCGCATGCGCCTCCAACAAACGTTGGCCAACAACGTTAGAGCGTTTAGACGGCGCTTTAGTGTTTTGAAAATGTTCTACAAAAATTAGTAGCCCCCTGAAAAGTGCATTAAAACTGGAAAGTATGTTAAAGCTGTTAAAACAGCTCAAGATTTTTTTAAGAGGGAACTGATCGAGTCGGGTGAAATCAATGCGTATTCAATTTGTCTTTTGAGAGGGTTTCAGGGGTATGGAAAAACTGGAGTTTGGTTTTAAAGACTTTCAGGCACTTTTTCGTGAAATATTCCACCTCGAAATCCTTTTGGGATGCAAATTACCTTCGTATTCCCGGGTACAACAGGTTTGAAGCGTCTTGTTAACAGTTCAGGACGCATGGAGATATACTTTGGGAGAGTTCCACTTGTCTCGGGGCGAGATAAAAGGGGAGGTGTATTGAACAGGAAATGCAAGCTGATCTGCAGATCGGACCGGGCTCGGGCTCGAAGGGTCTTACCGCGACTGGAAGGCCTGAGAAGGAAGAGAGCAAAATGGCCGATCGAGGGGAGAATGGGGTGTGGGTTGCTCTCCACTAAATCCTCGACTAGAGAGCCTGTTCACAGGCTAGGCATCGATGGGATACAAAACTGTCTTCTTTTTCATAATTATTCTCGTTTACGATATGTTTTGTTTTTTTCATCACAATCTGAGATTAAGTAATTCTGGATTAAGTAATCTCCTTAATATCACTGAGAGGAGTGGAGAATGGTCGAGGAGGTGAGGGGATACGAGAGACTGAGTGTAACAAACAGTTATCAAACAATACATTCATTTCAAACAATTTATTTAGCGCAGAAGGCGAAAAATCCTCTGCATTACCTGACTTGAGGAAAATTACTCCATTCTATAATTTTTTGCAATGTTTACTCGAAAAGCAAAAGTATGTACAAAGAATGTTTCGTTATTTCTTGTCTTTTTTCTTGTCTTTGCTGGACTCCTCGTCCATGGGCTCATCTTGGTCCTTGCTTTCGTCACTGTCCTGCTGAGCGAGGGACACCATGACCTTTTGAATGGCCTCGCTGCTGGGGTCTACGCCAGGTAACGTGCTAAGGACGTTCTTGATAAAGTCCGGATCGGACATGACCCCAGTGATGTCTTGAGTGTCATCTCCCTGTTTGCAACAACAATGCAGATAAAGATTGTGCTCTTTTCTATTAACTCTACGTTAAGATATCGCTGATTACTGTGATTGGTTCATAAAATGCGTGCAATGCGCTCTAACCAATCAAAGCTCCGGCCCAATCAATCGTCGTTTCTACCAATAAGGTGATTTGCCTACCAGTACTTTTCCCGCGCATGAGAAGATGGATCGCTTACAAGTTGACGTAGTTCAGAATGTTTTTTTTCTGCATTTTCCGCTTCCATGATTGTTTTCGTAAATGCTTTAATTTACAAACCGCTGTAAAATTTGCAGCAATTTCGGTCACATTGACCGAATCAAGTCAATTATTATCTACGTCAGTTTATTTCTGATAAAGGTAAGAAGCTGCGCCAGGAAGCGGGTAGTTCAACCAAACATTTGTCCAAGCTATAAATTTGATCCGAAGCTACGTGTACGAACACTATTACACCCAACATTTTAAATTGATTTATTCTCGTAAAAGACTTTTTGTTGATAGAGGAAAATTTTGAGATCTACACAGAAATAATACGTAACATTTTAAAGCACTTTTCAGCAGTCAAAAAACTGTCACACAACAGGAATAAAAGCAAGTAATTCACAATTTTCCGACGCAGAATTGAATCGAACCTGTGTATCTGTTTCCATTGCGCTCGCTCCAGCCTGTTCTTCCTTCTCGTCCTGTTTCTCTGCGGTTTCCTTCTCGCTGCTCCCATCGGCTTCAGCGTCCGCCTCTAGATTCTGCAGTGACAGCCTCATGGCATACTCAATCTGCTGTTCCTCTGTCATAGCACTGAAGTCAAACACTGGCGTCTGGGGAGTAGACATGGACAGCGCCTGCTGCAGCATCGCCTCCTCGCTGTCAGCGATAGGAGCTTCAGGGGTGGGAGCCTCCTCCCCGCTGGCTGCTGTGACCCTGCGCGCTTCTTCCTCCTGCCGTTGCCGCTGCTCCTCCATGGACACACGGAGGGCCTGGAACAGAAACACATGTGCAAACACCCATTAAACCCTGCCGTAACCTTACCCAGGTCGACGTCAAAATTCTCCAAGCTAATATCATAGATTTTCATTAAGACGACTGTCTTGAAATAATCAGATAGGTCATTTGCAAATCTGCTCATCTGAATCACCTGAACATCCAAATTACGAGTTCTCCAAAACAACTGTGTTAGTTTTCATTACAAACTGTACAATGTCACACATGCAAGAAATCAAACCATCATCCTAACATAAAAACAGCGATTTTCTGCTTTTATCCACACCATTTCTACTTTTTTTAAGTCATACATCTGTTTAGAGCATGTTTCAGGTAACCATGCCCTAAAGCTTCCAACTGCTACCTCTTGCCAGCCAGTGGTGACTCCTGTTTATCCATATGACAGATAGCATGAACACTCACCAGGGCAAGCTCAGGATCAGAATTAGGATCAANAGAATTCTGGTCTTGGACCCCCAGAGAGTGCGCTTCTTGGTGCTGACCAAAGGGACCACAGCCTCTGGGAACGACAATATGATTCACCCTGCTGTGACTGCAAAGTTAAAATGGTCAACCAAATGTAGATGTAAGAGTTTGAAAACTGTTAATTAATTAATTTGAATGTGAATCGTCCGGCATCAATGCCTCACGTACCCACCTTGCTAGAGTCATTAAACCAACATTATTTTCTGGGTTTTGTCTAGTTTTCGAGTGACAAACTAAGCTGACGGCATCTTGTTGTGCCTGTAACCTCGTTGGAAGGAAATCGCCATTCCTCATCCATTCGCTGTTATCAACGCTACGAAAAACACCAAATATTTTCAATATAAAACCAACTTCATTCAAGAATCGACGATCACGGGGGAAAACTGTTAGAATCTTACCATACAACTGTAGATTCCAGAACCATTCTGACAAGCAAAGACTGATAAAATTTTTACCTTTTATCGATTTTCTCTCGTCTTTTATCAATATGACTCAACGGATTTGTGCTCATACTTTACTTCGCGTAGC